GGATAGAGAGAGAGAGAGAGAGAGAGAGAGAGAGAGAGAGAGAGAGAGAGAGAGAGAGAGAGAGAACAGCACCAGCTGAGGCAAAAAGAAGGGAAACGATAGAAGAAAAAAAAACCCAACAACAACCACACCGCACAACTGAGAATTCAGTCAGAAAAAGACCAGAAAAACTCTAATGTCTTGGGTGAACATGAAACTGGCAGTAGACTAAAGGCAGGGGGTGACTATCTCAAATTATATCTACACTAGTGAAAGAGGGAAAGAAAGTGAAATAACTCTTTGTATTCGTGTATACCCTTCTGAAACCAAAAGCTGTCAGAAGTTACTTCTTTGATGTCCTGAAAAAATAGGGTCATTAGAGATTTCATAATGACAAAGATAAACGTCATGTCTTCGTTCCTAGGATAGTATTAGTATGGGGGCAGAGAGAAATATCAACACAATTTTTAATGCTTATACGAGGAGTTCATAATTACATATAAGAACACCTCCTAACCCTCCCCCCTTTCCCCCTCGGAAAAAACCTAAACAAAACAAACATTAAAAACAAGACAATAACTGTAACAAAAACAAAACTTAACAAAATAGCAAACAACTGGTAACCAAGCTTATCACCCCCAAAAAACAAATCTGACCTGCCTATAACCATAAGCAGAAACAGAATAGAGCAAGACCGGCAGACAGAAACTACAGAGGGAGAATGAGATGCGGGACGTACCACAAAAAAAAACAACCCAACCCCCAACAACAACAAAACAAACAACAAACAAACAAACAAACTCCCACCACCACCAACAAAAAAAAAACCCAACATCCCCCCTTCCCCCCCAAAAAAAACAACAACAAAAAACACCCACATTCATCCAACAGAGACTCCTAATACTATGAACACAAAGTTGTCATATAGCAAACACAGACTCAAAACCTTAAGAGCAATAGCAACATGGATTTTCAGGCATATTATGTGCGGAATGAGATTATTCGAATTTGTCAGAGAGTTGGAAAAAGGCAGTTGTTCATTCTTAGTGAATATAACAAATAAATAGATCCTCTTAATCAGGCAGATGCTAGCAACTCAGGTAAATACGATGGCTTGATGTAGTTTGAAGGATAGATTCTCACATTTCAAGAGCTTTTCTGAAACCAAATCACGAGTTAATTTTGTCCATCAAGTCGACAGATTGCCATAATATCCTACTTAATAAGTTTATTGAAAGCAGATCAGAAAATAATCTCTTGGCATTTATTTTATATTACACGTATTTTCATCCCCATATCAAGAATAACTCTCGCTTAGGAACGTATACTGAATCGCTTGTTCATAAGCATGCAATAGCAAGTATACATGTGTAAACATACCAAATTTGGAAAAATTTTATACGCTTTTGTTGTAGGTTATAATTTTATATATATGCCATTGTGTATAACATCTGTCTCATAACCACGATGGAGACAGCGAGATGAAAGACTGAACATAATATGAGACTCTTATATGTGTCTGATTCACGCCGCGATTTATAATAAAAACGTGCTAAAAGCTGGAAAAGCTCAAACCGTGCAAGCAATGTGCTGTAAAAAGAACGACAACAAAAAGAAAGAGCAAAATACAAAACAAACTTCAATTTAAAAAAAACCCACAAACAAACAAACAAAAAAGCGATGAAAAGTCTTCAAAATTCTTTACACGGCAAAGATCAAGCATGATAACCAACATTAAAATTTGTTACAACTTTCACTTCACATCAGTTCTGTCTTCCAAAGAAGTCAATGATTTGGAATGTCAGTAGCTCTTCAAAAGCCATGCGTTTGAATGGAGCAGTCAAATTCAACTCACTCAAAGCAACTTATCTCCTTGGGTTCTGAGACGTTATAATCCCTGGCTTTTGTCTGAATGTTTATCAATTGAAAAATACAGAAAATGAGAGGATTTGCTTCAACGCTTGCATACCTCGGCTATGGCATTTGTTTTCTACTAAGCTCAATCTTTTTTTAAAAGCGGAAAATCTTTTTCGTGCAATTTTATCACTGGCAAAAGCAACGCATTGCAGTCGGGAAAATACGAAATCAACATCAACAAACTGGTGCAACTACTATTTCTATTTCATTTGATTGTAAAAGAAAAAAGTGCCAAATTAACGAACAAAAAAATTTACAAAAGATCACTGAGCATCATCCTCCACTTCAAATGCTTCAAAATCTTCCTCTTCTGTTTCATCTTCCTCTTCACTGTCGCTGTCATAGGCATAAAACACATCTCATTATCACGGCTTCCCCGTCAATGAGTATAGTGCTAAATAGAGAGTACTTTGCAACAGATTATATTATTATAAAAGTAAAACTCATAGAAATAAATGTAAGTGGCTCTACCGGCGACTGTAGGTTAGGCCCTTCGCCGTCGCAAGTACAGAAGACGTGAGTTTAATTTCCGTGCAGGGAGGTTTTTGATCGAGTATCTCAGTCGGCCTGCCGGGAGGTTGTATTGTACCCCTTTGAGCTCGGGTCGAGCTTGATAGGTAGGGTTGACACAGCCCCCCCCCCCCCCCCCCCAAAAAAAAAAAATATTTTGAAAGTGTCGATAGGGGCATAATACAATTGGTCGCTTTTAAAGCACACGGGGGCTGTCCCGAAAAATGCTGTTTTGAGAAAATCAAAGATAAAGTTTTTGCCCCTTATTCAATTAGAGTTTTCTTAGTAACCAAACAAATATACACTAATGAAATCGAACTTCTCCTATAGGGAGGGCAGTGCCCACTTTTGGTGTAGGTCAAGATTTCTGGAAACCCTCGAAATCTGGGTTTGCCCACTTGTCCTTAAAAGCGACCAATTACACTTACATTTTTTAAAAAGTGTCAATGCGTCATTTTGTAGTCTTGAACTTAATAAAAATTGACAAAACATCCATGGCCGAACGTAGGTTGAAATATTTGACAACGTAAAAACAAAAAAAAGGACACACACACACACAAAACACACACACACACACACACACACACACACACACACACACACACACACACACACACACACACATACACATACACATACGCCTGTGGATAGAGCAATCTTGGTTACGACACTTCAACATTTTAATCCTAGTATGGTGTAACATGTACACCTCTGTGTTCATTGGTTGCAGGCCATAACATAATGCACACAAAGCTTTTCTCCAAATCAGATTGCGACATCAGAATTAAATCAACGTTAATTTGTTATTAACGTTCAGATATATTCTGTAGAGAGAGTTCTTTTAATGGGTTAATTCTAGTGTCAAAATAGATCATCCCAACCAAACAGAAAATGTTGACTGTGACAAGTTCGCATCCTCTGCATGACCTACTAAACAACATTGGTTAAGTGCAGAAATTATTAATATTGTGTTCAGAACCACGAAACCAATTCATATTGAACGTGCAGTTATTTGCAAACAACCGCCACCTGGAGATATCATATATAGTAAAAATAAACAAACAACAACAAACACATACAAACAAAACACCCCCCCCCCCCTTTGCTGTTGAGCCAGTGTTCTATAGTAAATGAAAATGGAATTATACACACCGACTTAAAGAAAGAAAACTGGGCCACAAGCCAGAAACTGCTATCAAGATAGAGAGGACAAGTACTTCCAGTTTAGGTTCGATCTCAACTCTGAATGTCCTCAACGCACTGACCTAACCCTTAATGTATGAGAAATGGGGGGTGGCAACAACTGAGATCATGACTTTCAAACTAAAGCACCCGGTACAAGGAAGTCAAATTTCAGTTCACACAATGGTGCGACTTTTTAAAACTTGCAATTAGGATCGCATTATTGTTTTACGGGTCGACTGTAGATCAAAGTTCTGTTACAGCAAAATGGAACTTCACAAGTTGTTCAAGTTGAACTGTCTGCACGATTACAATTCGATAAACAGCTTTGAACAGGGCTGGCGTATGTATTTAGAAACTGGCAGTAAATATTCTGTGAAAGTGAATACACATGAATACTAAAGCTAGAAAGTTTACGTAATCGTAGATTCGACTAAAAGACAGGATATTACTATTATTAGCTTGTGACGCGGCTTTTACAAGAGAACTGATGACCTTCTATGACAAAGAGCAAAACAACCCAAACAATAATTTTCCAGACAAAACGTGGAAGAGAAAGTGAAACAACCTATGTGCTTCCAGTTACAATGTACAAATTGATGAGTCTTCAGTATAACAAGTACTATATTTCACTCAAGGTAAACGTGCCAGAATTTGACGTAATACGTGCCTGGGAAAAGTATGTTTTTTACTTTTAGAGAACTTAATTTTTTAAAAACCCCCAATGTACTTACTTTGGTTTCTTCACAATCACCCTCTTTGGTCTCTTCAGCTTCAGCATTAGGAAGGCAGGCTCCAAACGGCAACCCATGAAGGGTGGGTTGGTCACGTCATTCACGATGAGAATGTATTCACCTGGTCATCCAAACAGGGATCAGTTAAGTTTTAGTAAACTGTTTACGGCACTTGCAACACAATAAGCTCATACAATATATAAATTATGCTGAAGATTAGGGGCGTTACAAGAGAGTAACAAACAAAAATGGTAGACAGATAATAAAAGGATGATAGATGTTTGATAGAAAAGAAGGAGCAAACCGCACCAAAGCACCACCAACCGTCCGCATCCAAACAGGGAAAAAATGTCAGTAAATTGAAAATCTTATAACACATGGAAGCAAAGATCTTATTGACTTACCATAACTGCATCATTTAAAAAAATGTAGTTCCAGGTGGGGGGTTTTTTCACCCTCAATGACACAGTTTATGAGGCCGGCTTCTGACCCTGATTGTGAGGGCCAACCCAGGCTGCGAGGGATACATCCCAGCAGAAAGACCGAAATACTCGATAAATATGTTTTCCCTACTCGGGAATCGAACTCGGGCCTCGCCTGCGTTTGAAAGCAAAGCGCTTATTCCTAAGACCACAGGTGTGGGTACTGGATCTCAAACTGAGCATTCAATAACAAATCCTCAAGAACGCCAGAGCTAGTAAAGAAGTTTTATGGTAAACTTTATGGCACACTTTTTTTTAGCAGAAAAGTCGTACCAGGATACTACATTCTGTCTGGCGTATTGCTCAAGTTTTTTTTCTCAAAAGGTATGAAACATACAGATTCTCAGAGAATTAATCCGTGCTAGATTGTAGTCATTTAGTGTTTTACATTTGTCAAATTATATTTCAACATTTTTCAAAAAGTAAAATAAGAAGACAATTTAACAACCACATGCAATTGTATGAATGGTGAAAACACAAAACGAAACACAAAGTAATGAAACAAAAGAAAAACACTGACTTTAAAAAGGGGTGCGACAGTAAACTATGGTGAGGATACAAAACAAGCAAGGGCTTCTATAAAGTCACTACCTCTTGCATACTTTCCGTGTACGAGCTACACAAAAGTGCATCATTCTATTTAGTAAAGAGATTTTTAGGGCTACAAGAATGCTATGAGAAAGCTCAAGACATAGTGCTCAATACTTATGCTTTATTGTCTCAAAGGAGTCATCTTCCTCAGAATGTTCGACAGTTTGAAGCTGAAAAGAGAATTCACTCTCAGTCCTCAGAATCAATCAGTCCCGTTTACACGACTATCAATTAACTGCAATCAGTTACAAACTTCACCTGTTCTCGCCACTTTTTCATCAGATACAGTAGACTTGTCGGGTTCCTGAGAAGCTTTCACAGCGGGCCCACCTAACTGAGAATTTTTACGTTCTGGAAAGTAATCCACAATGGGGTAAATATGGGAGACATGATTCAAAGAAAAAAAAAACAAGGGAAAAAAAGAAAAAAAAAAGAAAAAAAACCCCAACTAAAAGCGATACAACGACAAATGCAATAAAAGTAAAAGTGATCACAAAGACAGGTAGAACACTGATAAAAAATCTTATACTAACACATCAATGAATTTGAATTGTGCTAAATCTGCTTAGGTTTAATGCCTCTTGTAACATGTAAGGCTATAATAATAATTAACATCGCAGATGCAACAAAACATGAATGATTCAGTGACACTTTGGCCTACCCATTCAAAGACATTATCCAACAGTTCCGATCAAATCAATTGCGAACATATGTATGTGCCCTTTCCTTGAAACCGTAATATATTTAATTGGCAACTTGAGACGACCAAAATTAGAGGAGTAGACCTAAATCTAGTTTTGATAAATTTGACGTCAAAGATTTTTGAGTTTCACAACATGTCAAGCTTTTGCGAATGCCATAAAAAAAAATCTCGATAAAGACTCCGTATAATCTTACGATATTGATCGATAGAGCAGAATAGAACTTTTATAAATTGGTTTCTGACCGCATGGTCTTCGTAACTCAAAACGGCCAAAAATGTCAGATAGAGAACCTTGTAGTTCTAACATAGCGAAGTCTCGGATACGAGTTCCAACTGTGTGCTAACTAACCTTAACCACGCGGTGCCATTGACTTTCGGACTAAAGCCGCTCTGAAAAAAGTGCATTGATAACCATGTGTCCTTCGACTTTGGGCCACAGACTTGTATTATATTATCCTAGACGGCCCACCCTGGCGTACTTCCGGTTCACTATGGAGTCCCCCTTTTGACTCTGAGCCGAATTATGAAGGGGAAGAGGTGGAAGCTGCCGCGTGCTCGCGGCTAGAGCGAGATTGGCGCTTTGCCTTTCATTTTGACGGTATGGCGAAACCCGCCATTGTGCTCACCCTTCAATAACACCGTTTTTAGTTTAAAGAGCGAAGAGCGACGGCCATGGCAGTCGCAGTCTTGGAGTGCGGTACAAGTACAAGTCTAAGCGCCCGAATGATTCCTATGTTTTCAAGCAATTAAAAAAAAAAAATCCTTCTCTCAGAACAGTACACTGACATGGGCCTTCAGTGTCAGAGTTGATGGGGGTAGTAGTGAAAGAGCTAAGTGGAGCAACTGCACTGACAACATCCAGTATGTGTATGGAAATAAAAGCCATAAGCGAGGCTCTACACTGGAACTAGAACACAAGCCATCAACGAGCAGTAATCACTACTGACTCTATGAGCACACTACAGAAGGTACAGAAAGGGATGCTGTATGAGGACTGGAAGGCTACGATCAGGGAGAGCAGCCTGGAAAGAGTGGCCTAGATCTTCTACCCGGGCCACGCAGGGGTAACCGGCAACGAGAGAGCAGACAAGCTGGCTAGAGAAGCAAAAGTGGGAGGGAACTTGACACTGGACCCACCAACCGTCCTAACCGCTGTAAGGGAAAATTTGAGGAAGAATAGGGCAGATAGCGGTTCCCACACCCGAGGTAGATTGAAGGAGAAGGGGATCCAAAGAGGAGAAGGGAAACACAACCATCTGTGCGGACCAGTCCGACGGATCTCCAACCAGATTATGACGGGGACTATAAGCAGGCAGACTCTGGGATGGATCCTGAAGAGGGAGGCAGAGCAGAGATGGACATGTTCCGACTGTAGTGACCCCAACACTGTGGACAAGGTGTGACAAGTGCACGGACAGGGATCAGAGTATGTTTCCTTCCAAAATGTCTATTTTGTATTTAGTAGGGGGCTGCACTTCCAAAAAATGTTTTTAAAAAAATAAATATATAAGGCAACATACTGAATACAAAAACTTCTTACAATAGCTTATTTAAGGAGAACATTAATTTCAAGATAACAAATTTTTCTCACTCATTTACCTGCCTTAACCACATCTGCAGGTGCAACAGTCACATTAAAAATATAGGTATAGCGCCATTAAATGTGGAAAAAATAGCATTCGAGAGACACTCAAAAAACACCCCCTCATGCCTTCTCCGCCCCCATCCGTCAAAAAACAACAACAACAAAAAAAAGGGGGGGGGGAGAAAAAACCCCAAAGCAAATCCAAATAGCACAAAAGCAATTATTGATTTTTTTTAAGAAAGGAAAGCGTAAAAGTAGAGCACATTTTTCGGTGGGAGAACTAAAATAAAAATATTAATGGAACACAACAATACTGTTTTCCAAAGTTGTTTAAATTGTAAGAGAAAAAAATTCATAAGGAAATGAAGGGTAATATTATATTTCTCTGAATTTCAACCATTGTTATTTTTTGTTCTGCCACCAAAACACGTAAATTTCGAGGGACAAAACTCCGTGGCGCACAAATAATAATCATATCAAGCGCTCTGTCAGTAAGATTTGATTGTCATGTTGTTGTCTTCAATAAAACACATGGCGTAATCCAAGCAAATGGGTTTTGGAGACTTGTGAGCCAAGAAGCTTTGTAAACATACACTATGTATCTCGTAAATGAAGTTGGATCACTTCCTGGAACAGTTTACTCAAAGTATTTTTTTAAAATAATCAATTAAACATGTTTTTTGTTTTGTTTTTTTAGTAGAGGTTTTACGGCGCTCGCAACAGCATAAGGTCATATGAGCGCCAAAGGGCGGAGGTCAACAGAGGAGTCCTTACAGAGAATCAGGCTAACTCTGCTCACCTCTCTAGGTTCAAGAGCACAAAGTCTCATTCGACTTTCAAGACACCTTGGAAATAGCGGGTCACAGGAGTGTGAAAAACATACAAAAGATGTAGAGGAAAAATGACAATAGTAAAGATTAGGAAAGAATAAGCAGCAGTTCCCTGTTGCAGTTCAGGCACAGTTATGAGCTTGACATTAATGAATCAGCCCATTTGCATGAACCGCCCCCCCCGGGGTTAAACATGTTCGATCGGGTTGTTCTTTTCGGCTTTATGTTTGCTCGTTTGTTTGATTCTTTATTGCTTTTTGCTTTTTAATATATATACGAACGGTTATATAATATAGCGATGATGTTCTTTTCAAGTCTATTATTATGTTTAGGGGGGTTGATAAAGAAGCAATGCAAAATCAAAATCTAGGATAAAACTGGCAACAACCC